TAGTGCTCTACCACTTGAGCCACAGTGCCACTTCTGGCTTTTTCTGCTTATGTGGTGCTGAGGAATCGAACCCAGGGCCTCATACATGCAAGCAAGCACTCTACCAGTGAGCCACCATCCCAGCTCCTCGAGATTCTTTTGCTCAAAGCTAGCACACTACCACTTGAGGCACAGTGCCACATCGGCTTTTTCTGTTTATGTGATACTGAAGAATAGAACCCAGAGCACTTCATGTATGCTTAGCTACTACTAAGTCACATTCCTTGCCCTTCTTGGAATTTCTGCCCTATCAGTTTGTGGGTGGTTGTTTCCTGTGTGTGTGTACGTATGTGTGTGCATGTGCGTGCACGTGCCCACCAATCCCGGAGCTGAAACTCAGGGCCTGAGTGCTGTCTCAGAGGGTTTTTTGTTGTTGTTTTTGGTCAAGGCTAGTGCTTTACTACTTGAGCCCCACTTCAAGCTTTTTGGTGGTTAATTAGAGATAAGAATTCACAGAAGCTAGTTCATGTCTATAATCCTGGCTACTCAGGAGGCTAAGATCTAAGGATGGCAGTTCAAAGCCACATCAGGCAGGAAAGTCCATGAGACTCTTATCTCCAATAATTACTCAGAGAAAGCTGGAAACAGTCCTGTGGCTCAAGTGATAGAGTGCTTGCCTTAAGCAAAAGAAACTCAAGGACAGTCCCCAGACCCAGAGTTTAAGCCCCAGGACCAGAATTTTAAAAAAAAGAGTTCATAGGGTTTCCTGTCTAAGCTGTCTTCGAACAGCAATCCTCAGATCTCAGAATTACAGATCAAGAATTACAGGTGTGAGCCACTAATGCCCACCATTTTATTTGCTAGCCAGTAATTTACTTGGAAGCACTAGAATTTGAATGCAGGGCCTTATGCTCACTTGGCAGGTACTCTGCCATTTGAGCCATACTCTTAGTCTCCTAAGAGATTTGAAGAGAAAATTTTCAGAGGAGCACTACATTCAAAATTTAGCATCTTTGAAACATTTCATTCGTTACTTAAAGAGCTCTAAACTTGGGAGTCCAAACACATAGATTCAAACTGATCTACACTGCCTACTTGTGAAACTTCAGGGAAGGTCACTATAAAATGAGGATTTGTTTTATAGAAACATTTTAGTGTCAGTAGGTAAAACAACTGTTTGACCTGATATTGAAAATGTCCTACTTAATATTAACTGTTATATAAACTCAAACAATTGTCCCCAATGGGTAAGAACAGGTACAAAATGGTGATCTCACAAGACTGGAACACTTGATGAACAGATGAAGAAAGGCATTGGAGAAACTCAAGAATGGGGGGAAAGAATGTGGAATGAGCACTTCTTCAAAGTCTACAGTCAGAACATCAATCAAAGGAGCATTGTGGAGCTGAAAACTGCAATCAAAACAGCAGGTCTATGGACTACACTGTTGAATGAGCTTGGAAGAAGGAAGACTTCTGGAGGATTACAGAAGAATATATGTACCTTGACAAAGTGGAAAACAAGAGTGACTTACTGGGTATTATGCAGCACTGTCTGGACAAATGCAGGGTTTGTCTCCATTGAAGCTGTCACCAGAGATGTCAACAGAGACCAATACCATATTGCAGAGGCATCTGAGACTGAGACTCCAGACTTTTTAACTCTCTGAAAGCCAACAGCCCTCAGACCATGAATTCTAGTATCACATCCATCGCTAAGACAACGTTTTATGTTAATCTGGACATCTGTTAAGAACAAACAACAAGTTTAGTATTGGGTTAACATTTTTAGTTTAAGTGTGTGTAAGTGTGTGTGTGTGTGTGTGTGTGTATAGGTGCTTGAACTCAGGGCCTCACACTCACACATGACTTTTTTGCTCACAGCTGATACTCTACCACTTGAATCACACCTCTAGTTCCACCTTTTTGCTGGTTAAGTAGAAATAAGAGTTTCTCAGATTTGCCTGCCCAGGTAGCTTCATACTTAGATCTTCAGCTCTCAACTTCTTGAGTCAGTAGGATTTACAGCAAGGAATGAGTTATCAGTGCCCAGCTTTGTATTAACTTCTTGGCTCAGTAAATGAACTAAAAACAAAATAGTAATTGCTATTTTGAAAAGAAAATTCGTAAGCTGTGCTTTGATGACACACAATCAATGTGTGCAATGGAATTAGTATAAAATGAATTTATCACAAAACATTGACAATTCTAAAAAATAATATGCAAAATTAGGGGTAGCTTATCTTAAAACTGCTTTGAAACCATATATCAGGAAAATTACATGGAGCACATTATATAAACCTTCACTTGTGAGAGTACTTATAGAGTTCCTACAGTTTGAAATTTGGATGAAATTATAAAACAGAAGCTTACTCAGTGTGAGGCCCTGAGTTTAATGAGTTCAATCTTCAAATCCACCAAAAATAAAATAAAAACATTGGCCAGATGTTTTGTAAAATGTACTCAGTTTGACTTGGTATAATTTTTTTCAATATTATATTGATACTACTGATTTGGGAACAGGACAACAGAGATACAGTCACTATCATATCATGCTGAGAGTATATGTTCTTTACCTGACAATAGATAGTATTTACCTGGGTCATCTGAGTGAAGTAATACATTGTTTTGGGCCTTTTTCTTTTATCCCTGGAAAGCTATTCATAAATACAAATGCTGATGGCTGTATTCAATGTGTGTTTGAATGTATATTCATATATGTAATTATGTATACCAGTATCTATCATATGTATATGTGCATTTTGCTTAATATATAATCATGGAAATTATGTTACAAAATCATATATAGAAAGGAGATGTATCATTCTCAATAGTTAGTGCATTCTATTGTATAGATGAACTATTTTTAGCCAAACTTAACTGAGCATAATTAGCTTGTTTGCAGTTGTTGGCTTTTACAATCAATGGATATCTGTATATACCAAGAAGCAGGAAAAAACACAATTTATAAAATGAATTTTGAGGGGCTGGGAAGGTGGATCAGTGGTAGAGCACTTGCCTTGCATGCCTGAGGCCCTGGGTTCGATTCCTCAGCACCACATAAGCAAAAAGAAAAAAGCCAGAAGTGGCGCTGTGGCTCAAGTGGTAGAGCGCTAGCCTTGAGCTGAAGAGCTGAGGGACAGCGCCCAGGCCCAGAGTTCAGGCCCCATGACTGGACCCAAAAAAAAAAAAAAACAATGAATTTTGAAACTTGAAAAAAAAAACCAAAACAGTAGCTTGTTCATAAGCAGCTATGAGAATGTTTTTTAATAATTAACTCAAAGCAGATAAAACAAACAAGATTAACTTTTAGGAGCTGCCACAATTTCTTATTTGGTTGAAAAAAAAAGGAAGCAACAAGCCAGGCACCGGTGGCTCACCCCTGTAATCCTAGGTACTCAAGAGGCTGAGATCTGAGGATCGGAGTTCAAAGCCAGTCCAGGCAGGAAAGTCTGTGGCACTCTTATCTCCAATTAACCACCAGAAAACAGGAAGTGGTGCTGTGGCTCAAGTGGTAGAGCACTCGCCTTGAGCTGAAGAGCTCAGGGACAACATCCAGGCCCAGAGTTAAAACCCCAAACCTGACAAAAAAAAAAAAAAAAAAAAGGCAACAAGTTTAAAAGAATACAACTTAGAGAAAAGACCATAGTATGAGACAGGAAGCTTTTACTCCATAGGCTTAACTATTTCTTTGCCTAAACATCAAAACACTAACTCCCTAGGCCTCAGTTCCTTTAAGCAAAGAAAGAATAGTTTTTTGACTCAGAAAAACATTTGAAGAAATGAAGCAAAATACGAAACATTACAATTCCCTGAAACAAGGAAAGATATTAAACTTGTAATTATTCCAAAATACTATGTAGGAAGCAAGTAAATGTCCAGGAATATATGGCAGGTTAAAATTAAAATGCATTTGGGGCTGGGAAGGTGGCTCAATGGTAAAGCGCTTGCCTTGCATGCCTGAGGCCCTGGGTTCGATTCCTCAGCACCACATAAGCAAGGAAAAAAAAAGCCAGAAGTGGTGCTATGGCTCAAGTGGTAGCATGCTAGCCTTGAGCTGAAGAGCTGAGGGACAGCGCCCAGGCCCAGAGTTCAGGCCCCAGGACCGGACCCCCCCAAAAAAAAAATTAAAACGCATTTTGACCACATCAAAAAAAGGTGTTGATGAAATTATAATATAAGAACACATTTACGAAATACATATATATAAAAGAGCCAGACATCGGTGATTCATACTTGTAATCCCAGCTACTCAGGAGGCTGAGATCTGAGGATCATGGTTCAAAGCCAGCCTGGGCAGGAAAGTCTGTGAAACTCTTATCTCTAATAAAATACTCATAAAAAGCCAGAAGTAGCACTGTGACTCAAGAGGTAGAGCACTAGTCTTGAGCAAAAAGAAGCTCTGGGACAGTACCCAGGCCCAGAGTTCAAACCCCAGGACCAGAAAGAAAAATAAACATAGATATATTATATGAGTACTTCCGGGATGAAAGCATGGCTGCTGAATATTGGTGGCTCACACCTGAATCTCAGCCACTCAGGATTTGAGCTCTAAGGATCACAGCACGAAGCCAGCCTAGGCAGAAAAGTACAAGATTCTTATCTCCAATTAATCACCAAAAGCTAAAAGCAAAGCTGTGGTTCAAGTGGCACAGCACCAGCAAAAAAGCTCAGGGACACTGCCCTGGTCCTGAGTTCAAGTCCCAGTATCAGTATTAAAAACACACACATACACACACACATACACATATATACACACACGTGTATGTGTGTGTGCCTATGAGCTGGAAGTGAGGTACAAGTGGCTGAGTGCCTGCTTAGAAAGCATGAGGCCCTGAGTTCAAATTCCAGTACCACAAAAATACAGAGTACTAATTATTAATGTAAAAAGATGCTTGCATATACACATACTATACACATACACACACACACACACACACACACATACACACGGAAAGAAAGAGAGGGAGAAAGAGAAAGAGAGAAAGAGGAAGAGAACAGAGTGCCTGGGATAAGTGAAAAAGCCAAGCAAGAACATGAGTTCAAGCCCTACTACTGCCACTAAAACAATATTAACAAGAATAAAACAAAATTAAGTAGGTTTGTGTGTGTACATATATATGTGAATATATATACATATATATGTGTGTGTATGTACACACACACACACACACAGTAACAGTCCCCGAGTGGTAGGATTTTGAGTATTTTTGTCAGTTTTTTTCCCTCATTTTCCTATAAGAAAATAATAACGTATAAAGCCTTTGCTTAGTTAAAACATTTACAAACGTTAAATACATGAAGTAAGGACTACTTTTGTATGCCTCATGAGAAGCAAATTGAATCTCAGAAGAAATTTCCAGAGGTTTTGCTGCTAAAAAATATCCTTTCCCTTCCGCATCTCCTTCATTTTGTTTGACTCACAGAGCTGGCTGATGTTGGCATTTTCCAACAAGGTCACGTAGCCAGTCACATTGCTGGGGATGTGCACATCTCGGACTTCTTGGAGATCACTAGCACTCCTTCCCACGGCTATTGTCACTTGCTGTGGCATGTAGCTCTGGTCAGAGGCAGCCACAGCAATGGACAAGTGCCTAAGTACCACATCTGGCTTCATTTTTAACCTGTAAAACAGGGTAGAAATCATCAATGTTTATAGGGATCAAGCATTCATTGGGTCTGCAAGATTCATCTGGAAGATAGTACATTTGGTATATCTATAAAGATTACTTTCCTAACAGCAATAAACATGAAATGCTAACTATGGATTTCAAATTCTGTATAACCTTCCAAAGTCTCTAAAAAAAAAAAACAAAAAAACCTTTCAATACAAAATTGATCTTAAATTTCCTTTTAGGCTTTTAGCAAACACAGGAAGGAACAATATGGATATTTTAATAAAACCCCTATACCTGGCAAGAAGCAAATTCTAAACTGTATTTAAAAAAACTGCGTAGGGGCTGGGAAAGTGGCTCAGTGGTAGAGCACTTGCCTTGCATGCCTGAGGCCCTGCGTTCGATTCCTCAGCACCACATAAGCAAAAAGAAAAAAGCTGGAAGTGGCGCTATGGCTCAAGTGGTAGAGCGCTAGCCTTGAGCTGAAGAGCTG